CGAGGAGCAGCCTCTTCTCGAGATACAGAGGGACGCGAATCGATACACTCCTCGGGAAGAAATACATCGTGCGTTTAATTATCGCACCGGGGTGAATTATCTCGCGCGCGCGGCGCGAGCGAGCAGGCGAGGCTAACGGCGCGATACGTTTATTACACGTCGTGGCGCGGTGCTACATCGCCGGGAGGGGGGAGGGGCACGGCGAGATATGGACATAAGGAAGAGGAAAGAGGAGATTTCATACAAAAGGCCTACAAAGGAAATACAACAGTTTACGAGCGAACGAGCTTGCGTTCGGAGTCCAAGTGGGCGAGATAAACAGCTGTCGGCTGCAAAAACGAATGCAAATCCCACGGTTGGATTATCAAGCCCATATTCATCGCGAATTGAGAATCGTGCGATCTGTTTCTCGGAATTTTTCATCCCGAATACGTGCGGCGCATATATTTCTCCTCGAAATTGCTATCGGCTTTTCCGCGGAATCGTCGCGATACGTTCCGTCTCGGCGAGGTTTAACCAACGAGTTTCAAGTTACCGCGGTCAATTGACAAAAGTGTCGACTGTGCTAAGCGTGATAAGCAATTATCGGATCGAAACACCACGTAATCTCGGACAGACCTATGTACACAGACCGAACGCTCTGCGGAGGAGACTTCGCTCTTGCGAAAACTACTTGAATAGGATGGCCTGCGCCACAGGCGACGTTCGATCTTTGTCCAGCTCTATTCTTATTGCAGTGGCAGCTAAACGAAGGTGCGTGCCTGCAATAAAAGGAGAATATAACCGGCCCCTATATCTCTCAAATTTTCAAATTCCTCTTTCTCAAACAAGAAAGCGCAGTACGCGTTCACGTGTACAAGGGCCGGTGGTTGTTCCAACTCCTTGGTAAGTAAACTGATGAGTTAAATCATATCAGTCTGTCTTCGTTTAAACTGAAGAAGAAAAACAAAGATAAACATACGATTGTATGTAATTATCAGTTAACTTGCCAAGAAGTTGGGGGACAACCGACCCTGAGTCTACATTTGCAACGCGCGTGACGTGACAAATACACGTCGCCTATCAATCGGACTCGCGCGCAACAAGCGAACACGCTGGATGTTTAAGCGATGAGAGAGAGGGGGAGAGGGGGGGGGGAGAGAGAGAGAGAGAGAGAGCAATCCCGCCGAATTCCACGTCGACGTGCGAAAGTCAAGATCTCTCGATTTCGCTCGCGAATGTTATGGCCCGCGCGCGTAAACACATGATACGCGTCGCGTCGGCTGTTTCTTGGCTCGCGCGCGGATCCTCCTCGGGCGCGAAGTGCGGGCCGTGCTGTCGTGCGAAATGCGAACGCACGAAGCGCGTCGGCGAATTATTCTCGTACGTGCGTGCTCGCGGAACTACTGCGCCTCGCGCGGAATGGAACGCTACGCGGGATACACACCGTGGTCGTGCCGTGGCCGGATCGATGTGACTGCTGCCCCGGTAGCGCCTAATTCTATGCGCCGTATTCCGGTATATATTCGTAACAGGTGGAAATATACAACGCGGCGGTTCGATAATTCAATTTGCCAGCTCGCTCTTTAGTCGGTCGCGCGAGCTGCAGCCGAGCGAGCCCGGCGAGCCGAGCTCGTTCACCCCGGCGTGTTGGGTTGCTTTCTCGAGGTTACGGCCGAATGAGATAACCGATGCGTTTCGCGACACGCGTCGCGTACTTTCCCTCCCCGTTTCACGCAGCCACGTGACGGTGCAAATTTTGCGATCGGAGAGAGATCCCTCGGACTCTCTCCGATCGCGCGCGCTCGCTCTCGTCGCTCCTCCGAAGACGCCGGCGATCTACGACGAAGACGAGAGCGGCTGCGGCGATGTTTCCGTCGCGCGAGACAGCGAAGCGAAGGAACCTCGGTGCTTTTATCTCGCGCGGCGTAGCGTGCGTGCGGCTGCTGCTGCTGCTGCTGATAAAACGTCTTTGTTTATCGCGATAACGCCGTCGAACGGCGACGAAGTCGCGCGCCGTGAAGTGCTGCTCGTCGCGGTCTATGCCGCGGAATTGATATTTGAGAGGCGGCGGTTTACATTTCGACGAGAGAGACACCCGCCGCGGTTGCGCATTATCGGCTTCACCGCTCCCGCGACGTGTTTTCGACGAGATGTTTCATATAGCTCGATTCGCCAGCTAATCGGCGGCGCGCGGCGGTTATCGATATCCGGTCGAAGACGGCGGGGAGCTCGAGCCGCCGTGAAAGCTGCGATCTTACATCGCGCGCAAATATCGCTTGCTTCTCGGCGAGAGTTGCGCAATGCAACGTCGTCGTCGTCGTCGTCGTCGTCGCGGAGGATCCCGCTCGCATGAGACGTCGTTTGTTTTCGCGACGACGCGAGACGCGCGGCCCGAGGAAATTCGCGAATCTCGTCAAAACAAATACATGCGCCGCGTGTCTCACCTCGTCTCCCTCCCCCGCCCGCCTCTCTGTCACTCTCTCTCTCTCTCTCTCTCTCTCTCTCTCTCTCTCTCTCT